CCGATGAACAACTGACGAATCCACCTCTTCCTTTCCCTGGCGGTGTCTCCTCCCACTGGCCCACCATAGATCTGGTTGACATGTGGGTGCTTCTGCCGACCAGATTTCTCCCCTTCATCTTCGTCGTCGAAATGGGCGCCGACCTCCCTCTTCTTAGAGGTTGAGGCCTGCTCGTCTTTTCTCTTTATCCAAATGGTGTTCTTCCGAGGGGGTGGCCCCTCATAGTTTTTCATTACAAATTGGTCCAATTGCCCTTCCTGAATGAGTCTTTCCACGTATTTCTTCAAGACAACGTTTGTCGCGTGGGTATCACTGTTGTGAAGCTTGCAATACTTTCCCCGAGTAGCTTGGCTATTGATAACGCCGCTACTGTCGGGCATCATTACCAAGCCCTGCTTCGTTACGTAATCCAGGATTGTGCTTACTGGATGTGTTTGTGGGGAAAACTTTGATTAACTGGATAGAGGTCCATCAGGCACCCCCTGACTAGCTCTTGCTCTTGCTCCTGCCCTTCTTTTTTCACTTGAATATGCTCCCCATGTCCAAGGATATCATTCCTGAGATCTCCCCCACGCGCACTGCGAAAGTAAGAGGAAACAGCTGCGGATGAGGCTTTTCTGCCTCTCTGCACCCTCGAGAAGGGGCTGTCATGCACGAAAACTCTTCGTTCTCCAATACGATCCATCACTGATGCCCTTGGGTTCCGTCCGGAGTGGTGGAACCTCTGAGACCTTGCTGGAGGTGAATTCCTCTAGCGGTGCACAAACACCTCCTCTTCTTCCTCCCAGCGAAGCATAGATGGCGCACGAAGGGGAGAAGTTAGCCTCTCATCAGTATTGGAAACGATTTCATGGAAGGCCGTGGTCAGGATTTCCACAGCCCTTTGGAAAGTCGCCAGGCTAGCTAATGTTTGTGCGGGGTCCACGCCTGGAATGTGATTCCTGGTGGCCAACGTTCGGAATTGCGATGGGCGTGTTGTTGGATGCCTGGAACTTCCGACACCATGCACGTGATTCCTTATATCGCTTGGGGTTAACACGTTGTCGTTCCTCCTCCAGAAATTGCTTCGTCGCGAACGGGGTCATTCATCCTCGATCACCAGTTGGTTTAGACTAGCGCTGCCTTGGTTACTGCCATCACGGTTGTGACTGTGTGATCCAATCATCGTCTTCATCGTAAATCTGCTCTCAACAAGAGTACCAAATGATGAAGTTTAATTCCAATAATGAAACCCTATTTATTAAAAATAGTGAAATTTAAGCAGCGTATGACAATATTATTATTCAAGAGGCGGATCAAGCACCATAAATTTAAGCAGCGTATGACAATGAAACCCTATACCACACAGTTTTTACTTTATTATTCTCCGTGCCAGTCAATTTTGGCAAAGTTTTAAGGGGCGGAGGTAGTATAAATTATATATTCAAAGCACCATAAAACATACAAAAGTAAATATTCAAGCAATCAAGCAATTTTAGTCCTAAATTAATTAGTATGACAAGCACCCAATATCGATTGTATTATACTACCTCCGCCTCTCTGTTATTGTCCATTGCGGTTTATGATGCTTGACTGACGATAAAGGAAAGAGATCCCTGTTTGCTCTAATATTATTTTTAGAAAACAAAATTGCATATTCAGAAACTACATTAAAAGTTTTATAAAGTCCCAAAAACCAGAATCAAATTTGTTAAAAATCTGATAAATAAAGTAAGAGATTAAGAGTGATTTTTGTTGACCAAGTGAATAGGAAATGAGACAATAACAGGTGGACCGAAGGAGTAATAAAAAAGTACTACCTCCGCCCCCCTAATATTGGGACGGAAGGGAGTGATGTGATTTTAATAAAAGTAGAATTATATGGTTGATAATGAGTTGATAACGTGGAAATAAAGTAAGAATGAATTAGAGCCACACAAATGTTACCAAATATGATATGAAAAAATGAAAAAATGAGACAATTATAGGGTGCGTAGAGAGTAGCAATCATCCCAAAATCTAAATTCAAAAAAAAAAATTAGGCCTAAATTTAGTTTGAGGCCTAAAAAAGTAGTAATCCTTCTCAAAAAACAGTTTTATGCCTAAATCCTTTACGCCATTAAATTAACTCTGAGTTAGGGATGTTATTGTGTTAGGGTTTTTGAAGTGGACCTCTGGTACTGTATTATTCTTTATATACTTATATGGTATATACGATTTAGTGTACATGATTTAGCATATATACATATTATTCTTATATATATATATATAGTTATAATTTATTAATTATGTTACGAGGTAAGGGTCAGATTGGTCCTCAAAATTGCATAATAAGGTTCAAATAAGCCCTTACTGTCCGGCCGTCGCCATTTGGGGAGGTTCCCGGTGGAATTTTCAGATGAAATTTTTTGAGCATCTTATTAATTAAGTCTAGTTTACTCAACCAAATATCAGCTAAAACTTCAATCGGGAAGGCATTCAAATGAAGTTTTGAAGATAACTGCGCAGTTACCTTCGAGAATTCTTTTGAATGTCTTCCCGATTTAAGTTTTAGCTCAAATTTGGTATGAGTAAACTAGACTTAATGAATAAGATGCTCAAAAAAATTCATCAAAAAATTACACTGGGAACCGTCCCGAATGGTGACGGCCGGACAGATCCTCATATATAAGGACTTATTTGACCCTTTTTATGCAACTTCGAGGACCAATCTGACACTTACCTCATTATGTTACGGATGGGTAACGGTGCGGGTACCTGCACCATTAGTGAACGGGACGATTTCGGGGCGGATTAGTATAGAACCATAACCACACAATTATCCATTTAAAAAATCGGGTATTTCCCGCACCGTACCCGTTCCCCAGTCAAACCGGTTTTCCCCATTTTGACCAAATCGGTTCGGTGCGGGTATCCAATGGGTCGGCCGAAATTGCCATCTTTAATTATTCCCCTAGGTCCACGTCTCTTCCGTTAGTTTCATGCCACTGCCAGATAGCTATACTTGATTGATAGCCTGCCACATAAACCCTAGGATAAGTCCAGCCTCGCTAAAATCTCGCCCAGGCTCAAGGTCTGTCATCTAGACCGACCTGGTTGTGGGTTCCTCTCGCGGGTCGAGTTCCCAGTTAAAACCAATGATCATTATTAATTATTAATCTCGACTAATGGGTTGATTCGTTGTTCCAGAGTAATGGGTTTCATTTTAGTTTTCTTCTTGGGCCATAGTTACGATCCATGGTACCATCACAATTCGTTTTTCCTTCCCTTTGTTTCTTCCTATGCATTTTTCATGTTCCATTATATCTCTCCTCTTTCACTAATGAGTTCAGCGTATTCCTTTCTTTATTTTTCCATTTTGTTGGTCATTCTTATCCTTTTTCTTTATTCCTTGTTGACCTATTTTTGTTTTCACACAATTAACTTTAAGACTTTAAGTGCCACATAAGTATTTCTCGGGTTTAAATACTTTGATCGACTTCATTGGTGATTGTATGTTAGTTTTTTAGCCAGTGAAAGTCTGAAATCTTTAGATTCCACAAAACATTACACACCCATTAAGATATACACCCACGAAGCATCACTCTGTCTCTAACCCTTCTCTGAACTTTTAATTAGTTTATTCATTTAGATTTGCTTTGTCCTTTTGCTCCCTCAATAGTATGACAATGGATTTCGCTACAATGGTCTCTAGTTTGTTGTTTAGTAAAAAAATTATGATTATTATGAATTTATATATTTAATATGTGTGTGTGTTAATGAAAACAAAAGAATAGAAGTAAATTACATGGGCCGCTGGTTTAATAAAGAAAAGAAGAAAATTAATCGGCATGTAACCTGCCACATGTGCAGTTAGCTGGGACACCGATTCTCTACATGCTAAAAAGCTTAATTGAACGATTTTTAAAAGTTCAAGGGTTCAATTGGGCATTTCAAAGTACGAGGCTCTAATTGATTTTTCTGATATAGTATGAGGACTTATTTGTCAGTTTTCCGGTTTTCCCTCCATATATTGAAGTTTGACCTATGATAAAGCAAACTTCTTCCAGGAAATATTCTAATTATTGTTGGAAATTAAAATTTACATATTACGAATTAAATTATAAGATTTATCAAATAGTAAAATTTGAATTTAAATATAATAAACTGATCCAATTTCTATTTTCTTAAAAATGTAGGTGGTAGGAAACTAATAAATTGAGCCGTTGGTTAGTGCATGCCCACCTCTCTTTGGGCCGTAGTTTAGGTGGTGGGAAGAGATATTTTGTTGCTCAAAGGCTTGCTCTTTGTTCTTATTCCTTTATTTGCCTAATGCCTAATCTTACAATTTTGTGATTATATTACTATCTTCTCTTTGTGTTTGGGAGTTTGGGGGAAGGCCTTGAGGGAAAGGGGAGGGAAAGGAAATGGAAGGATAAGGGAATGAAATTTTATATCTTGTTTGGGACATGAAAATTTGTAATGAGGAAGATAATGGAGAACATATATGTGCCTTTCTTTCTCCATCATTGGAGTGCCTTTTTAAAGACCCTCCAGAACTGCTAATTTGAAGAACTATATAAGGGACATTTGGAGAGTTTTGAAAGGCTTAAAACCCACCTCTAGAGTTTAATCATTCCTTCCAATATAACATACTACCAAATAGAAAGAAGAGGGCCATAAACCTCCTTTACCCCCAAAACCCAACTCCTGAACATAGCTTTAGGATTAAGAGAACCCTTTAGCCTTCTCTGTTTTGGATGTTCCAGCTCTGGTTTAAGAGCTTAGCAAAAGTTAAGTTTTCCCTTCAATAGTGGTGATCTTGATTCGCACACCACGGGTTATATCCCTATTCTTATTAGATGGAAATCTGGAATCAATGAAGTTCCAATTATGGACTGATTCCGATTTGGTAACCAGCCAAAGTTCGTACTTGTACCCGACCAGTCTGGTTCAGTTCAACTTTCAAACCAGCTTGATGTCTATCCTGGTATGAAACTCCTTCCTATAATAATGGATTTGCTTGGTTTTGATGGCAAAAATGAAGGGAATGTACTTTTGAAATAAAAAAAAAAACAAGAAAGTCTGTACAACAAACATAAACTTTATCTCTTCAATCTACATGATATTTGGCAAAATTTGAAAAGATTGTAACTAACACCAACATAATACTCCTGCACAAACCCTGCACAGGATTTTAGGAGATCATATGGTACATGGAGACCACATAATTTATACAAAACAAACCTTTATTTATGTATATTCATATAAAGAGTCCTTTCATTGCGCTTAATATGTTACATCCTTCCTCCTAAGGACTCTCATTGGATGAGATATGAGGAGAAAGCCCCTTCTGAACTACTGGGGGTTCTCTCTATCATTCTTCATCTTCTTTCATCTTCTGCATTACTGCATATCAACATTGATCACAGAAAGGATTGGCTAGGGTTGGTTGGTCTTTGTACATATGTTTTAATACATTCAACTGTCTGAGGCTATATCTGATCTCCCATTACCCCTCCATTCATCACCCATGGGTGCCCTGCATTTTCAGGAACTATTAGTACATGTTACAGGAGAAGATTAGATGAAAATAATCTCAAATATGAGCTGCTCTAAACAAGTCAAACTACAAGTTATTTCAAAATAAAACTTAATTATTCCAAGAAGTTTCCCAAAATTAATGTTGACAATTATCATTTCAAACAAGTCAAAGGCTGTTTCAGAGAATTGGCCTAATAATTGGGATTACTTAGAAATTACTCATACTCGAGATTATTTTGAAATTACTTGGGAACAAATTAAAAGAACAGCTGACATAAATTGTTATCACTTTCTGTTCAGTACTTTATTCTCAATGTAGGAAATGAATACAGCGTATTCCTCTCAATTGAAACAACTTAGATGAAGCCATAAGAATTAAGGCTCTCTTTGGTAGGCAAAGATTACTCATCATTGATCAACTTTCTCCTATTTGCCTAGAATATTTTAATCAAATCAAATTTACTAAAAGGTCCTAAACTCAATTCTAAGAACATCATTATTCAAGAATTTTAAGTTAAAATTTGACTCTCTCTCTCACACTCACCTTTGTCCAATTTACGACTATTCATGTGGTCAATTCAATTCGTTTTTGTTGTATGAACTTTAATATAAATTTTTCATGATATCTGGGAATTCAACTTTTGTGCCCGAATAGATCTTTTAGTATAACTTTCAAATATATAAACTTTAAATATTAATACTAAAATACATATTAAGTTAACTTCAACAGTTCTTTAACTTAATCAAGATGTAGAATGAAAGGGAGGAAATATATTTTGATAACTTTAGCAATAAAATAAAGTTCTCAGTCGACAAAAATCACAAAAGAAAAGAAAATCATGGACTCGATCAAGATGGATTCTTTAACCAAGATTAAGGTAAGCTAATGTCCAAAGAAAGGCGTGGAATCTAATAATTCCAGAAAAAAATGAAATTTGAAACAGTGAAAGAAAAAAAACAGTTCAAAAAATTTCTTGAAGAAACTTACTTAACACTTGTTCTGCAGACAGGCGTCTAGAAGCATCCTTGCACATCATCTTTCTGAGCAGATCTTTAACTTCCGGCGAAACAGACCGGAAGATCCTGGGTGGAAATCTCAAATTTGCCCTCAACACCGCGTCAAACGTCTCAGGCGGTGTGTCCCCGTAAAAAGGCGGCGCTCCGGCCAGCATTATGTACAAAATCACCGCCGCACTCCACACGTCAACCTTCTCGTTGTAATCCCGGCCCATCAAGACCTCCGGCGCGACGTAGTACGGCGTCCCCACCACCCCCGTCATCATCCTATCCTCGTACCCTCCGAACCACTCCGCCGATCCGAAATCCGCGAGCTTCAAGTTCCCCTGCGAATCGAACAGAACATTGTCCGGCTTCACATCCCGGTGGGCAATCCCGGAGAGGTGGCAATGGGTAATCGCGGTCATCAGCTGCCGGAAAATCCCGGCCGCCTCCGGTTCCGACAAAGGGCCACGGGACACCAGCCGCTCGTAAAGATCCCCTCCGGTGCAGAGCTCGGTGACGACGTGGAGGTAATTGTCGTCCTCGTAGACGTCGATGAGACGGAGAATGTTGGGGCCCCCGGAGAGGATGTGAAGAATCTTGGGCTCCTTCTCTAAGCACTCCCGATCGGTGGTGTCGATGAGGAGATTCTTCTGAATGGATTTGCAGGCGTAAGATTCACCGGAGAGTGGAGAAAAGCAGCGGTAGACGGTGCCGAATTTCCCACGGCCGATTTCTTCGGACAACTGGTACTTGAGCCTGAAACTTTCGCACATGATTTGGCAGAATTTTTTGGGTTTAGTTTTGGGAATGGGGTGAGGTTTTATTTATAGAGACGGAGTTCAGGTGAGGAATAAGGTATCCATGGGAATATTCGGATGCTACTAAACAATACGGAGTAGTTCATAACAAATAAATTTGGGAGAACTACCAAATAAGCCCTCAAATTTTCATAAAAAGTGCGAATAAGCCCTTTTATAGGAGGCTCTGTCCGACCGTCGCGATTTTGGGGCGGTTTCCGGTGGAATTTTTTGATGCAATATTTTGAGCATCGTCTTCATTAAGTCTAGTTTACTCATATCAAATTTCAGCAAAAAAGTCAATCCGGAATATAGTCAAATGAATTTTTGAAGATAACTACGCAGTTAGACAACGCAGTATATTTCAGAAAATCATTTGATTGCCTTCTCAAATTAATTTTTAGCTGAAATTTGGTATAAGTAAACTAGACTTAATGAAGAAGATGCTCAAAAAGTTTCATCAAAAAATTCCACCGGAAACCGTCCCAAATGGCGATGGCCAGACAGAGCCTCCTATAAAAGGGCTTATTTGCACTTTTTATGAAAGTTTGAGGGTTTATTTGATAGTTCTCCCGAATAAATTTCATTAATAATCGATCCAAAAAAAGGTGGAATCTCCGACCCCAAGAGCCCCCACCCCGACCCGACAGGATGGTGTGGAGGTTAGTCACGGTGACTCAGTCAGCAGAATGACAGTAGACCCATACACCCGTGCGCACCAGAGGCCCAACCTTATTTCAGGTTCTCTGACCTCCACTCGGTCGCTGCGGGGATTCGAACCTTGCTCAATTGATCCAAATCTTCCACCACTCGACCAACTGAGCTACCCGTGCGGGTATAAATTTCATTAATAATTTCCTAGAGACGAAGTTCCCAAAATTTTGAGATATTACCTGAAATAAAACTAAAATAGTTTGAAAATTCTAAAATAGGATTCTCATATTTTTATTTCCAAAATATGACTAATTACTGTCATGTTTTGGCATTACCAGACTTCAAACATGACAATATTTTCTAAACATGACAATAATTAGTCCTAATTTGAAAATAAAAAACATGACAGTCTTATTTTGTAATATTCAAATTGTTTTAGTCCTATTTCGGGAACTTTCTCTTAATATTATGGAGTATGTTTAAAATAGATAAAAATATTACTTAGTACAAAATAATCATATAATAATGTTTAAATTTACATTATAGTAAATGCATGTAAGTTACATTGAATACAATAATACTCATTAATAATTACAAAGCTATTTTTATCCATGACTTTTTAATGGTAATATTTAACAAAAAATCACATTATGAGATTAGAGTAAATTAAATATATACATGGTCATATTTAAATAAATTTGCACCATCTCATTAGGTTTTGGCACATTATTTAATAAAAATAATGAACAAATAAATAGTGTAGAAAAAATAGAGAGAAAAAATATAATACGAAAAAGTAAGAGCAATTGAATATTTCTAACAGAAAAAAACTTATTAAAATGAAAGTGTAAAAAACTTTTAAATACATATTAGAAAGAATGTTAAGTAAAATTTTAAATACTGAGGAGGGTGTATCAAATTTAATATTGAAATTTGAATCCAATATAAAATATGACGAGTAATTGCACTATTAATAATAAAATAAAAGGTATACTCATCCTTCCATTGTTTCTGTTTCAATTTGTATTTCGTCCGTTTCCATTCGTGTGTTTCACTTGTCTCTTTTACCATCCCAACTAAAAAAGATTCTTATTTCTTATTTAAAAAACAATTATTATTCTTCGGTGATAATGTAATAATCAAATATTAATGTGTATTGGATTATAAGGAAAACCAAACTAAATTTAATACAAAAAAATAATTGTTTAAATCACAATTTATCTTAAAATTGTGTATATAAAAAATTTATTGTATTAGGTATTTATACATGTGAGTTACATATTTTTATATGTGAAGTTACATATTTTTACACGTAAAGTTACATATTTCTACACGCGAGTTACATATATATACACACGAGTTGCATTTGACTTGCCTGAACGCGAGTTACATATATTTACACGTAAAGTTACATATTTTTACACGTAAAGTTACATATTTATACACGCGAGTTACATATTTATACACACGAGTTGCACTTGACCTGTCTGAATGCGAGTTACATATTTGTTTAAGTAAAGTTACATATTTTTACACGTAGAGTTACATATTTGTACACACGACTTGCATTTGGCCTGACTGGACGTGGGTTACATATTTCTACACGTAAAAATACATATTTTACATAGGTTAATATAATAGTTCGATAATATATTAAAATTACATAGGTAATATTGGTCTCATTTGAAAGATCATGAAAAATAAAAAATGTTGGTATAAATTTTATAAAAATCGGATCAAAAATAGAAAAGTTATTACCATTTTAAAAAAAAGAAATAAAAAATAAAGATTCGGTGCTTGCCAAATACGCTGCTTGCAAAAAACCGTTATACGGTGCTCACCGTATACCGGTCATCAGGGCTGGCCCTGATGGTGTGCAAGGTGTCCAACCGCACAGGGCCCAAAAAATTGGAAGGGCCCAATTTTTTTTTGCAGTAGTATACAACTACCTCCGTCCCGCTATGATTGTATCATTTTACCTTATCGGTCCGTTCCATTAAGATTCTCATACCAAATTTGGTAAAATTTGTGTGACTCTAAATCATTCTTACTTTATTCTTACTTTATCAATTCAATATCAACCACATAAACCACTTTTTATTAATTTGTGTGTCACTCCCTCTTGTCCCAATGTTAGCGGGACGGAGGGAGTAGTATTACTTGGATGGACTAGGACAAAGCTTTGAAGCAGGCCTGGTTCGTCACTTCACGTATTCCTCATCTGCAAAGGAGGAGCGAGCGAGACATGCACAATTTGAACCCAGGTGAAAATAAAAGCATGCACGCTGATTTCTAAACATCAACCATCGGACCAAATCAACTAATTGTTGAAATACGAACATACAAGTTTTATATTACCTATTTGTTCTACAAAATAAATAATTAAAATACCTCTTAATAAAAATCGGTTCAGTTCGGTTTAAACCGATTTTATAACTCAAAAAACCTTCATTAAACTGATTTATGTTCGAATCCCGACTTTCGGGTCCCGTTTGAGTCGGTGCGGTTTCGGTTCGGTTTTTTTAACTTGTGTTGAAACTTTGAAAAGAAGGCCCAATTATTTTTTCTTCACAGGGCCTTCATTTCCTCAGGACCGGCCCTGCCGGTCATACGGTATAACAACTGTAATATTACTGTTATCATCACATGACCTAATTATATTATATAGTCATCAACACTTTCTTTTTAAAAAATAATACGGAGTACTAGAAATTTTTATTTGATTATTATTTAAACTCACTTGAGAAGAGGTGGCACTTGGTATCCAATTATTCATTTATTAATTATATATTTATCTCATATTGTATGTGATACTCTATAATATTTACGTGGTTTCATACAACTATTTAATATTTTCCAAATATTATGTATCTCAAATTTAATGTTAAAATCACATAATTTTGCAATAAATTGTTCTTATTTTTGACATGTTCTCCAAATATATTTACCTTTAAGGAAGAATTCGACTTTGCACCTCAGATTTTGGGAGATGTTTGATTTAATAATTATAACATAACCTCAGTTTTCAGGGGTCTAATAGTGATTTATCCTATATCTTATTCGTGAATATGTTTTAAAATAGGGAAAAATAATTAAAATACCATAAATTTTGAAGAGGTTTGAGATAAATACTTCAAACTTTCATATGTAATTTAAATATCCTAGATTTTGTATAAAAGTTATTTTAGCAAGATGGTCATATATTATTTTTTCAAGGTTTGGAGTATTTTAATTATTTTTCCCTAAATTTTATGACCATAAATGTTAAACTAATATATGACCATGATGTTAAAACAACTTTTTATGTAACTTTTGGGGTATTTAAATTACACGTTTATTTAAATTAAATCACATTATTTCAAAGTTTAGAATATTTGAATTATTTTAAGTAAAGTAGATAGTGAAGTCGTCAAGTAAGAATTCGCTTGATAATGTTGTCGTTTTTAAAATTCGACTTTTACTTTTATAGGGTAAACAAAGTTTATAATTTAAATTATACAATTAAAAAAGTAATTGTAAAAATGTCACTCCGTATTAATCTTGGCAAAGTCAGCAGAAAAACTGAAATTGAGTTTTTCTTTTTGGTACTTGTACAATTTTGTTCTGGACTTTAAAAAGGAACAGTGAAAACAGAAAACTATGCTTTTATTAACTATTTTCAATATATAAAATTAATAAGGATATGATTATCTTTCTCAATAAAACTATGAATTATCTTAAATTTTTAATTTTATCTGAACATATAACGTAACTAATTGAAAATGGATTATTATGAAAAGTGTTGCTATTGATTGATGAAATGTTTGGATGTAATATATTTTTAAACAATTCAAACACATTTTTCATAAGTAATCCTCAATCAACTCCATAATTAAATGCCAATCTTCAATATAGATTGCTCCATATAAGTACAAAGTAAATCAAATCGGATATATCTATATGCTTTCTACGACCTATGTTAAACTTTTTTAAAGTAATGTTTGTTCTTTAATTGGTAATATGTTCGAGACCGCTGTTTGCTTGATTGAGACTAGTATTTTACATTAGAGATTTCTAATTTCTTGTACTATTATTATATTATTATTGAAGTATAAAGTTGACATGTGCACAAATCTAAATTCGTAATTGCATAAGTAACATAAATGATTATGGTGATGTTTGTTCTTCGACGGATCCGCACCAACCCGTCACTTTTAGCGGCGTTTTCACGTTAAAAAGGAGCAGCGGTTTGATGCACCCGCTTTATCCAAACGGACCCTATAAGTCTTGGTTATTAGACTCACAATGGCATAACACGCATAAAGTCACAAACAATTAGTTGTTGATCAAGAGCTAGTCTGGACCGAAAAATGAAAATTGTTCATTAAAACAGAGCATAAGTTTGTATATAAATATTTTATTCAACCTCCTTAATAATCTCTTTTCCTCAATCATATTTTTAAGAAATCTTATCAATCTGAAACCTGAAAGATGGATTAATAATTAATACCAATCTAGCTCTAGCTCACTCCAAATTTAAAAAATGTTTTAATTGTAAAGGACACATATCCGTGTATTTTTTTCAAAAATATTCTTTTGTACTGGATCAACCTGACCCTTTGCCCTAGCCTCGCCCCTTTTGATACATATCTTATGTTAGAATCATCATTGATAATGAATCTATCTTTCAACTTTCTTATTTATTTGACTGTCATAAAATGGTTTTCATATAGTTTTAGCTAGAGCCCTTATGTTAACGTTGAAATTGATGGGATATGTTGACATTGAAAAAGTTAGAGCTTAATTTAGCGACTAAATTGGATGAAACAGCTGAATTGTGAAAAAATGTAAATTGCTATGTGTTTTATTAATAATATAAAGAAAACATTATACTTAGTGTGAAAAAATAGCTAAATTGATCATATATACTCCCTTCGGTCCTAAATAAACTTCACACTTTGACTTCACACGAATTAAGGAAATAAATTTGACTTTACTGTAGAGTACACTGTTGTGACACTGTTTGATACTGTTTGACATTGTTTGGCACTGTTTTGCACTGTTTTGCACTGTTTTGCACTGTTTTGAAGTAGATAATTTGCCAAATAAGGAAGGGGGAAGAAGTGTGAAGTTTATTTTGGACCTATCCAAAATGGAATGTGTGAAGTTTATTTAGGGCCGGAGGGAGTAGTAAATTCAGTCAGAAAATGACTTTAGTTAATTCAGCCAAAAATTAACTTCAACAAATTCAGTTAAAAAGTATTGTCTGACTGAATTAACATGATATATAAGACAATCATAGTGGCGACAGCTTGGTGCTTTATTTATTTTTGTATTGTCCTTTTTTATGTGCTGTTTGGTTGTCCTTTCGTTTAATTTAGGAAGGTCGGTTACGGTTACAGTTGGATGATGAGGTGTCACGACAAGACTTGAAGAAAAGAAGAGTGAAACAACTATTGGACCATAGAGTACTATTTCGGCCCTACCATTAACGAGAGTAGTTATACAACTCCAGATTCTTCACGGCTCCACCCTTGTAAGTGTGAGAATTTCAGATTTAGCACTTGGTCCAAAAGGTTGAATACCCAACCCCAAGGCTCCCCACCTCATCCGACAGAATGGTGGGGAGGTTAATCACGATGACTCAGTCAACAAAGCGGTGGTAGGTCATATACACGTGTGCACCAGAGGTCCAGCCTTATTTCAGGTTATGTAACCTCCACACGGCCGGTGTGGGTTTCGAACCATGGTCACTTGGTCCAATTTTCCCATCACTCGACCAACTGAGCTACCTGTACGGGTTTCAGATTTAGCACGAGTTTGCATGGGATGGCAATTTTGAGGAGAAGGTGCAGGTGGGGTTGGGCTAACAGCAGGTGAGCTGGTCAAATGGTTGGAGTGTGATGATGATGGTGAGGAGATAGGTGTACTGGGCAGGTTTGGGCTGTCTGCTGCTGCAGGGGTGACGGAGCCGGTGGTCTGATTGGTCGCTGAGGGGACGGCGAAAGCAATGGGCTGACGGGGAGTAAGCTGAGAGCATTCCGTGGATTGCCGCAGCATGGCGGTGTCGAGCAAAGGGGTCGGCTGCCGGTGGGATTTGGTCATGGTGCTCATGCAGTGTTACGGTATTAATGCTGGACAAGTCGATCCTTGGGAGATGTGGAAGTTAATGTAGAATATGGAAAATAATTTTCAAAAAATCGCACATTCCGGTTGATGTAAATCTTGTAAGTAAGACTGTAAGAGGACCGAGACAACAATAAACTTTATATTCAGGGGCATATCCGAAAAAGATACATAAAATAGATCTTGGAGAAAGCTTGTTGGCAGAAGTGATATTAAAATTAGGAAAAAAGCACATCCAAATACACGCATGAAAGAGAAGTCGGGAGTATGATGGAATAGTTTTTCAAAAGGAGAAATGCCATTTAAATTTGGAGTAGAAAACCGGTTAATAATAAATGTGACGGTAAACACATCATCTACCCAAAATTTAGCTGGCATGTTTGCTTCAAAATGTTGAAAATTAAACTTGTTTTTGGGCCTAATTAATATTTAGTTTTAGTTGTTGTTGGGAAGGCCCAAGTGATAGAAAAATGTAGAAGGCATAAATTCTAGAGTTTCTCTAGAAGATGTGGTCTAGAATTTTCCTATAATTAATTGAGTAGAATTGTGTATAATGTATTAATTGTAGAAGATTCTAGATATCTTTGTGCTAGTATAAATAGAGGTCTCCTACCTCCACTTTGTATCAAGCAAATCAAGCAAATTGAGTTGTTCTAATAAAAAGAGTTCTTCCCATTTGTTCAAATATCTCTTCCATAATATTTCTAATTTAGCCTCCCAATTTCCCAAATCTTCCTTCACTTATTTTCAACACAAAAAGCATAGTGCGAGTTAATTCAAGGAGATGTCTGTGTTTGCTTAGCGACACCATTCTGCTCAGGGGTATCCGGGGCATGATATACGAAATAAAATGCCATTTTTGGCAAAAATATCACGCATTCCATGATTATCAAATTCACCCCCTCCATCACTTTGAAAAATTTTAATTTTGGAGTCAAGCAGGTTTTCCACCATCAATTTAAAGTGCTGAAAATGTGTTATAACTTCACTTTTATGGCGCATGGGATAGAGCCAAGTAAATTGAGAAAAATCATCAATAAATAAGACATCATATTTAAAGCCACTTGTTGAAAGAACAGGAGATTGCCAAATATCCGAATAAATTAAATATAAAGGAGCAGTAGATTTATGCCACACTTCTTGAAAAGGTAATCATTGTGACTTTCCTAATCGACAAGAAATACAATCAAGGGAAAAACTAGAAGTACTAGAAATAGTGCCAGATTTTTTTAATTTATCTAAAATACTACTTCTTCCACAATGTCCCAAACGACGATGCCAGACCGGGCCGAGAGCAACATGAGAGATGAGAGCAACTGGTGAGGGATGTGTGAAGGAAATAGGATAAACACTGCCATTACTGGAAGCTTGGAGGAGCACCTTCCCCGAAAGTGTTTCCTTAATACAGATAGAATTTTTATCAAAAATCACAAAACAGTTATTATCGGCACATAATCGTTGAATAGAGAGAAGATTGTATTTAAGACTAGACACATGATAAACAGATTTTAAATGGAGGGGCCGAGACATAGTAGATAAATGCAAATCACCAACAGTCATAACAGGGAGATTAGAGCTATTCGCAACTGTAATTTTTAGTGGTCCAGAATAAATAGATTTATTTTGCAAAACATCTGGATTGGCATAGTAGATAAATGCAAATCACCAACAGTCATGTGAGGAGAAGCACACGAGTTAGGATACCAAACAGCTGGAGTGGATTTACCGGCAGAGATAGCCAAGGCAGGAGCTTGAGCTTGAACAAAACGAGATGGACACGCAACAACCGAATGACCTGGAGAATGACAGATCTGACACACAACAGGTGGAGGAACTGAACCAAAACTATTCTCAAAAGATGGAGATCCTGCAGAAGCATAGTTAGTACAAAAAGTAGAGAGAGCCGGAGTATAAAACGATGACTTAACTGAATTACAAATAACTGTACCCGGTCCCCACTCATTCGGCTGTTTGGCCCCCCTGCTGGATTGTGACTGCTGGAACTGTGGCGGGCCGTGGCTGCCATAAAAGGGAGGCGGGGCATACATGTTCGGCTACTGATTTCTTCCTTTGTCGCGCCCTCGAACGCGGCTGCCACGCCTTCCACCACGGCCACCGCGAGCTGCCTGCTGCTGCTAGTTACCAGACGAAGGAGAAGGTGCCGCAACACCCCCTGCCGAATTAAGGGCAGCAAACGCCGGTGTAGGAATGGTGCCCTCGAAGGATTGTTGGTAGCAGAGACGGGCATCTTGATGGACCAATTTTGTGCCTAAGGAGTCAAAAGTGAGTCCTTCCGGAAATAAGGTAAGGGGTCCCACTAGCGACTCATAATCTGGTCCCAATCCTAAAAGTGTATACTCAATAAGATCGGCATTGGAGACCGGCGCGTTAATGGCGGATAAATATTCAGCAATTGTTTGAATCCCATGAACATATTCCTCCATGGACTGATTCTCCTTCTTCTTGGTGCATAAAAGCGTATGTTTTAATTCCATGGAACGTGCAAGAATGGCAGCCATAAAACGGGACTCCAAACGTTGCCAAATAGCCAAAGAATTCTTCAATGAATGGGCTTCCATCAAGATTTTTCGAGAAAGAGTGACAAATAACCAAGCATGTACCGCCTGATCTAATTTGAGCCAATGATAATATTTAGGATTCAGTGCCTGAGCCTAATATAAATTATAGGTATACATAGGCAGGGCTGGTAGAGATCCATCGAGGAAGCCCAAAAACGTGTTAGCTACCACGAAGGATTCAAACTGAGTGCGCCAGGGCAAATAATCTTCAACGGGACACCAGCCGCTCGTAAAGATCCCCTCCGGTGCAGAGCTCGGTGACGACGTGGAGGTAATTGTCGTCCTCGTAGACGTCGATGAGACGGAGAATGTTGGGGCCCCCGGAGAGGATGTGAAGAATCTTGGGCTCCTTCTCTAAGCACTCCCGATCGGTGGTGTCGATGAGGAGATTCTTCTGAATGGATTTGCAGGCGTAAGATTCACCGGAGAGTGGAGAAAAGCAGCGGTAGACGGTGCCGAATTTCCCACGGCCGATTTCTTCGGACAACTGGTACTTGAGCCTGAAACTTTCGCACATGATTTGGCAGAATTTTTTGGGTTTAGTTTTGGGAATGGGGTGAGGTTTTATTTATAGAGACGGAGTTCAGGTGAGGAATAAGGTATCCATGGGAATATTCGGATGCTACTAAACAATACGGAGTAGTTCATAACAAATAAATTTGGGAGAACTACCAAATAAGCCCTCAAATTTTCATAAAAAGTGCGAATAAGCCCTTTTATAGGAGGCTCTGTCCGACCGTCGCGATTTTGGGGCGGTTTCCGGTGGAATTTTTTGATGCAATATTTTGAGCATCGTCTTCATTAAGTCTAGTTTACTCATATCAAATTTCAGCAAAAAAGTCAATCCGGAATATAGTCAAATGAATTTTTGAAGATAACTACGCAGTTAGACAACGCAGTATATTTCAGAAAATCATTTGATTGCCTTCTCAAATTAATTTTTAGCTGAAATTTGGTATAAGTAAACTAGACTTAATGAAGAAGATGCTCAAAAAGTTTCATCAAAAAATTCCACCGGAAACCGTCCCAAATGGCGATGGCCAGACAGAGCCTCCTATAAAAGGGCTTATTTGCACTTTTTATGAAAGTTTGAGGGTTTATTTGATAGTTCTCCCGAATAAATTTCATTAATAATCGATCCAAAAAAAGGTGGAATCTCCGACCCCAAGAGCCCCCACCCCGACCCGACAGGATGGTGTGGAGGTTAGTCACGGTGACTCAGTCAGCAGAATGACAGTAGACCCATACACCCGTGCGCACCAGAGGCCCAACCTTATTTCAGGTTCTCTGACCTCCACTCGGTCGCTGCGGGGATTCGAACCTTGCTCAATTGATCCAAATCTTCCACCACTCGACCAACTGAGCTACCCGTGCGGGTATAAATTTCATTAATAATTTCCTAGAGACGAAGTTCCCAAAATTTTGAGATATTACCTGAAATAAAACTAAAATAGTTTGAAAATTCTAAAATAGGATTCTCATATTTTTATTTCCAAAATATGACTAATTACTGTCATGTTTTGGCATTACCAGACTTCAAACATGACAATATTTTCTAAACATGACAATAATTAGTCCTAATTTGAAAATAAAAAACATGACAGTCTTATTTTGTAATATTCAAATTGTTTTAGTCCTATTTCGGGAACTTTCTCTTAATATTATGGAGTATGTTTAAAATAGATAAAAATATTACTTAGTACAAAATAATCATATAATAATGTTTAAATTTACATTATAGTAAATGCATGTAAGTTACATTGAATACAATAATACTCATTAATAATTACAAAGCTATTTTTATCCATGACTTTTTAATGGTAATATTTAACAAAAAATCACATTATGAGATTAGAGTAAATTAAATATATACATGGTCATATTTAAATAAATTTGCACCATCTCATTAGGTTTTGGCACATTATTTAATAAAAATAATGAACAAATAAATAGTGTAGAAAAAATAGAGAGAAAAAATATAATACGAAAAAGTAAGAGCAATTGAATATTTCTAACAGAAAAAAACTTATTAAAATGAAAGTGTAAAAAACTTTTAAATACATATTAGAAAGAATGTTAAGTAAAATTTTAAATACTGAGGAGGGTGTATCAAATTTAATATTGAAATTTGAATCCAATATAAAATATGACGAGTAATTGCACTATTAATAATAAAATAAAAGGTATACTCATCCTTCCATTGTTTCTGTTTCAATTTGTATTTCGTCCGTTTCCATTCGTGTGTTTCACTTGTCTCTTTTACCATCCCAACTAAAAAAGATTCTTATTTCTTATTTAAAAAACAATTATTATTCTTCGGTGATAATGTAATAATCAAATATTAATGTGTATTGGATTATAAGGAAAACCAAACTAAATTTAATACAAAAAAATAATTGTTTAAATCACAATTTATCTTAAAATTGTGTATATAAAAAATTTATTGTATTAGGTATTTATACATGTGAGTTACATATTTTTATATGTGAAGTTACATATTTTTACACGTAAAGTTACATATTTCTACACGCGAGTTACATATATATACACACGAGTTGCATTTGACTTGCCTGAACGCGAGTTACATATATTTACACGTAAAGTTACATATTTTTACACGTAAAGTTACATATTTATACACGCGAGTTACATATTTATACACACGAGTTGCACTTGACCTGTCTGAATGCGAGTTACATATTTGTTTAAGTAAAGTTACATATTTTTACACGTAGAGTTACATATTTGTACACACGACTTGCATTTGGCCTGACTGGACGTGGGTTACATATTTCTACACGTAAAAATACATATTTTACATAGGTTAATATAATAGTTCGATAATATATTAAAATTACATAGGTAATATTGGTCTCATTTGAAAGATCATGAAAAATAAAAAATGTTGGTATAAATTTTATAAAAATCGGATCAAAAATAGAAAAGTTATTACCATTTTAAAAAAAAGAAATAAAAAATAAAGATTCGGTGCTTGCCAAATACGCTGCTTGCAAAAAACCGTTATACGGTGCTCACCGTATACCGGTCATCAGGGCTGGCCCTGATGGTGTGCAAGGTGTCCAACCGCACAGGGCCCAAAAAATTGGAAGGGCCCAATTTTTTTTTGCAGTAGTATACAACTACCTCCGTCCCGCTATGATTGTATCATTTTACCTTATCGGTCCGTTCCATTAAGATTCTCATACCAAATTTGGTAAAATTTGTGTGACTCTAAATCATTCTTACTTTATTCTTACTTTATCAATTCAATATCAACCACATAAACCACTTTTTATTAATTTGTGTGTCACTCCCTCTTGTCCCAATGTTAGCGGGACGGAGGGAGTAGTATTACTTGGATGGACTAGGACAAAGCTTTGAAGCAGGCCTGGTTCGTCACTTCACGTATTCCTCATCTGCAAAGGAGGAGCGAGCGAGACATGCACAATTTGAACCCAGGTGAAAATAAAAGCATGCACGCTGATTTCTAAACATCAACCATCGGACCAAATCAACTAATTGTTGAAATACGAACATACAAGTTTTATATTACCTATTTGTTCTACAAAATAAATAATTAAAATACCTCTTAATAAAAATCGGTTCAGTTCGGTTTAAACCGATTTTATAACTCAAAAAACCTTCATTAAACTGATTTATGTTCGAATCCCGACTTTCGGGTCCCGTTTGAGTCGGTGCGGTTTCGGTTCGGTTTTTTTAACTTGTGTTGAAACTTTGAAAAGAAGGCCCAATTATTTTTTCTTCACAGGGCCTTCATTTCCTCAGGACCGGCCCTGCCGGTCATACGGTATAACAACTGTAATATTACTGTTATCATCACATGACCTAATTATATTATATAGTCATCAACACTTTCTTTTTAAAAAATAATACGGAGTACTAGAAATTTTTATTTGATTATTATTTAAACTCACTTGAGAAGAGGTGGCACTTGGTATCCAATTATTCATTTATTAATTATATATTTATCTCATATTGTATGTGATACTCTATAATATTTACGTGGTTTCATACAACTATTTAATATTTTCCAAATATTATGTATCTCAAATTTAATGTTAAAATCACATAATTTTGCAATAAATTGTTCTTATTTTTGACATGTTCTCCAAATATATTTACCTTTAAGGAAGAATTCGACTTTGCACCTCAGATTTTGGGAGATGTTTGATTTAATAATTATAACATAACCTCAGTTTTCAGGGGTCTAATAGTGATTTATCCTATATCTTATTCGTGAATATGTTTTAAAATAGGGAAAAATAATTAAAATACCATAAATTTTGAAGAGGTTTGAGATAAATACTTCAAACTTTCATATGTAATTTAAATATCCTAGATTTTGTATAAAAGTTATTTTAGCAAGATGGTCATATATTATTTTTTCAAGGTTTGGAGTATTTTAATTATTTTTCCCTAAATTTTATGACCATAAATGTTAAACTAATATATGACCATGATGTTAAAACAACTTTTTATGTAACTTTTGGGGTATTTAAATTACACGTTTATTTAAATTAAATCACATTATTTCAAAGTTTAGAATATTTGAATTATTTTAAGTAAAGTAGATAGTGAAGTCGTCAAGTAAGAATTCGCTTGATAATGTTGTCGTTTTTAAAATTCGACTTTTACTTTTATAGGGTAAACAAAGTTTATAATTTAAATTATACAATTAAAAAAGTAATTGTAAAAATGTCACTCCGTATTAATCTTGGCAAAGTCAGCAGAAAAACTGAAATTGAGTTTTTCTTTTTGGTACTTGTACAATTTTGTTCTGGACTTTAAAAAGGAACAGTGAAAACAGAAAACTATGCTTTTATTAACTATTTTCAATATATAAAATTAATAAGGATATGATTATCTTTCTCAATAAAACTATGAATTATCTTAAATTTTTAATTTTATCTGAACATATAACGTAACTAATTGAAAATGGATTATTATGAAAAGTGTTGCTATTGATTGATGAAATGTTTGGATGTAATATATTTTTAAACAATTCAAACACATTTTTCATAAGTAATCCTCAATCAACTCCATAATTAAATGCCAATCTTCAATATAGATTGCTCCATATAAGTACAAAGTAAATCAAATCGGATATATCTATATGCTTTCTACGACCTATGTTAAACTTTTTTAAAGTAATGTTTGTTCTTTAATTGGTAATATGTTCGAGACCGCTGTTTGCTTGATTGAGACTAGTATTTTACATTAGAGATTTCTAATTTCTTGTACTATTATTATATTATTATTGAAGTATAAAGTTGACATGTGCACAAATCTAAATTCGTAATTGCATAAGTAACATAAATGATTATGGTGATGTTTGTTCTTCGACGGATCCGCACCAACCCGTCACTTTTAGCGGCGTTTTCACGTTAAAAAGGAGCAGCGGTTTGATGCACCCGCTTTATCCAAACGGACCCTATAAGTCTTGGTTATTAGACTCACAATGGCATAACACGCATAAAGTCACAAACAATTAGTTGTTGATCAAGAGCTAGTCTGGACCGAAAAATGAAAATTGTTCATTAAAACAGAGCATAAGTTTGTATATAAATATTTTATTC